CGGACGTTATTTGGTTAGAAACGTTTATTTGGAAGTGTGAATGTACTTTTTTTGTTAAAAAAGGATATAGTATTATGATAACAATCATGTGTATATAAAGGCAAAAGAAAATGCGACCCTTTTTAAAAAAGTTAAGAGTAAAATCGTGTCTAATAGCACATTCCAATGCAGCTGCGTTTCTTACATCGCTTTTTTCGTGGCCTGAGACTGGGTCTTGTTGAATTATATTACACCATGGGGCGTTTTTGGCGAGGGGTGAGGAGGCGGTTGGGGTAGGGGCTAATTCTGACTTAGTTCCCTGTTTAACATAAAGTCAAACATGCAATGAAATCCCACTGTGCAGTTCGACAAAGCACCTAACCAGGCAACCTAGTTCCCAAGGTTCTCTCTTACTCGTCCCTACGGAGCGAGAGAGAGACGGGTAGGAGAGAGAACCTGGGAACGAGGTTGTGAACCAAGCCCAAGTAGGATCTGAAAATGGTTAATGTCTATAGGGCCATGACAAAGTGTTTGCCTAGGGAGTTTTCAGCTAACCGTTGTAAGAGGGTTGAACACAGGCACTACTAGAAAAAAGACAAGTCAATATGAGTGAAGTTTATAGTTTTATTGGCTGACTGTAAGGGAACATCGATGAGGAAAAAGATTGTGTCGATCAGTGTGCGGGTCATGTCAAGGCACTAATTCAGACGCTTTTTGGGTGGTGGGGATGGAGTGAAGCAGTTGCGCTGCAAGCGTTTCTGTTCTTCGTACTGACCGGCTGAACGATAAAGGTGCAGTGAACAGGAGCAGAAATGTTCTCGTGCGAAGTTCAGCTTTTCTCAACATCCTCTTCTGCCACCGCCCCGATGGAACCGCCTGGAATCCATGGCCCTCCTTCGGTTGGTGTTGTTGTGGTACTTTTCAACAAGAGCCCCATGGGTGCGTTTTAGGTTTCTTTTGGTGTCCTGCTTTTTAGTCTTCTTATCCGCCACGGCGCGGCTCCTTTCCTCACTAAAGTCCTTACAGTACAAGCTTAAGTAACATCCCCGAGGAGGTTCGCGTAATACTTCCTCAGAGTTACTCCCTTGGTCTTCGCTTCCTTCGCAAGAAAGGAACTTCTTGCTGCAGGAAATCAGGTGCATAAACTGAGCCCACAGAAACATAGCAGTCTTTGGCACGCGGTTTCCCAACTTCGAAGTCAGCTCGCAGATATCGCTGATCACAGACATCGTGGGGTTTCCAAACCAACTCTCCTCGTCCTCGTCTTCAAGAAGAGCTTCAAAATCCGGTGGCCATTCCTGTTGTGGTTCTGGTTGCCATTCCAGAGCTAACAGAGGTTTTGGAGTACTCGCAGGCTCAGGTGAAACAATTGATTCAGAACTGGGCGGCTCAGATGAAGAAATCGATTCAGAAATGGGCGGTCCATTTGTGATATCTATAGCGGACTTACGCCGCTTTCTAAGCGACACCTGTATCATATCGTAGACATAATCACCGGTCAGTGTCAAACACAGTGGTAGCTGCCGTTGCTGTCCGATACCAGCCACAAAATGAAAAGTTCGTTTTCGCGTAACTTTGTCGACGTCGCATAGGAATTGCTCCACAGGCGAAGGCTCAAATTTGACGAGAGATTTACAGGTGTTGAGGTCCTCAACAAATAGGTTTGGGTCTTGGATCTTTGTTGGTGTAAATACCTGTTCGCAAGTTTTCATCGATACCATAAGTGGTGACTTGATGCTGAAAATGAAATTTTACGAAAAGTTAAAATGTTTAACAAAATGATGATGTCGGGATAATGAAATACAGATTTAAATAAAGACTTGATCGTCGCAGTTGTAATAGCAATTAAGTGAATTGAAAATTAATGCGAGCAAGCTCTCCCTTTGGGAGAGTCAAGCATGAGAAGTCACGCGCTGTCGCGCCTCGTGCGGCTCGCTTTGCTCGCCACTCCAAAGGGAGAGGTTGCTCTCAGGCTAGGCCGTGTAGTGTCTTTGTCACCTTCCGTCAGTGTGATGGCACTTGTTCAAACAGTATCTTTGTACAAAATTCCAGCGCTTATCATCTGTTCATTAACTCATTTCTGTCAGGCGCGCAAACAATTGCGCAAACAGTTATCAATGCTTGCTGAAGCTCTAATTGTCTAAAATAGCTAGCGCTCGTGCATGCGCTGATAGCCTCATCTTGATCGTGTTGACCCGGCTGGGCGAGCCAAAGGGTTTACATCGAGAAAAGCCGGTCCGACCTCGGTCCTACCATAAACAAGGGTGACCCAGCGAGGTGGACCACCCTCCTAGCTGAGGCAACTTTTTGTTTATTATTTAAAAGTGTTAGGCGTTAAATCATCGAAACGTTGGCTAGCCCAGGGTAGCTGGGATAGATGGATAACCCTTTTATCCGGAACATCCATAAAAAAAAAAAAACGGGACTCTTAACTACCGTTAAGTTCCCAAAGTAGCTATAAGGAAAGGCTGCTAAATCTGAAAATAACGAGGGTCATTACTTTCCGAACTTTACGCTAGTACAGAATCTCCCACCTTTTAACATTAACTCGAGCAGGTAGAATCTTTCCCGGTGTACACAGGGGCGGTGGTATTTTAAACGACATCATTTCGATCCAGTGGTTAGACCGTTGAAATCGTCCGTCATCCCACGAAGTAAGATCATCCTCCTTGTGCTTTAACGAACGCTCAACCTTATATGGTCGTACCATCTTCCTTGGAAACATGCGACAAACCATCTTTCCATGAAAATACTTTTGTCGCTTCTCCACGTTCGATTTGTTAACGCTTTTGCGTGCTGCATTGAACAGCAGCGGTTCTTCGACATCCTGAGTCTTTTGCGCAACACATGGAACCACTACGTATTCTTTCAAAAATGCCGCGTCGTCATCGGTCAATTCCACATCAACTAACAGCCAATCACCATCCTCTAACTCCCCAACGGAACATTCCTGAGACAGGTTTGTATCTTCTTTTTCTGTGTAGATCCATTTTCCAATCAAGCTTATCATTACCAGAGCGGATTAAGAAGATAGCGGCAATGTTTGGCTCCTCGGGAGATGGACATGAAAACAAGGAGAAAATCAACTAGTTGTAATTGTTAATTAGAGAAAGAACATCATTAGGCTCTAATTGTTATGATATGACATCATAAATGTATAATTGCGCTAGTTGAGACAAGAGCAGAATTAAAAGGGAGGGGCTTAGGGTAATCTTCCCCCACCCCCTCATGAAGGTTTTGTCCTCGCCTCAGCTTTCTTGGACAGAAACATAACCGCGCTCCTCTGGAACGAAGTTAAAAGAAACTCTTAATTCGCAGGGAAGTTAATTTATATGATATAGAACAGAGATATACTATTCTACAAGGGCTCTGTTTATTTTTCAAAGTAAAAAAACGCCGCATTGTTGTTTTCACATGGAAGGAAGAGAACGATGGTTTTCGAATGCGATGATGTTGACAAATCATTCAACGCACGTTCTGTAAGGAAGGCTATCGCATGTAAATCGTTTTAACGTTTCCGTCTGTATGGACAAAAGCGATATTAATACGCCACGTGTGGATGCGTAATATTTAGAAAAGGAGAAAAAATATCCGCGTTTTCAAAAATATCTGGTTACTACGTGTGGACGGGGAAGTAAAGCAGTGCTTTTCCTTTTACTGAATGCACTTACCATTCTAATCATTCATACCAGGCTGAAAAATATTTCTGATTAATAAAACAGCCTACAGAACTCACAACAACACGGTTTCCTGTTTTATTCTCTCCAAAGGAACTCACAATAAATCTCACAATACTCGATGAAAACCCTGCAAGGAAAAACTGGCACTCTTTTTTTTGTCTTGTCCGTGAGTTCTAGCTTACTCGCACGTGTTCATTACCTTATTTGGTAGTCCTAGTCCTAATTTGGTAGTGCTTCTCAACGTCACAACACTGTGAGGGGTAGGGTCGGTAAATCTCTCGTACATTGCCGCGATATCCTCTGTTAATGCCGAAAGTTTCGTTTACCTTAGCGCGCGTCAGCCATCTTAACCCATTCGCCCCTAAGCTGTCCGTAGCCGCCTGCGCAGATCCACTTCCCTTCGATCGCTTGTGACGTCATTAGCTTTAATTGTCTGAAACAACTTTGCCCGCTTACTTGTGCAGAGATGGGGATAATTCAAACTATACCAGAATGATTTCAATTCAGCAATAGACGCCGGAGACAAGGCAACAAAGCATGTAAAATTGACCTGAAAATTTCCTTTTCTTCCCTCCATAAAAACAATCCCTTAGAAAATGACGCGTACTTCTTTCAGCGCGCTCTGGCTTTCCGTAATCCTCAATCAGAGGGTGCGCTTTACTAACAAAAGTTATTAAACTTGAAAATCGGGCGCGCGAGACAGAGAAAAACTAATTTATTGCGCCATTATTACGCCATTTTTTTTTTGAAGCCTGCGACAATGAAGGATATTACGATCTCGCCCCCCCAAAAAACAACAACAACAAATACCACTGTTTCTATTAGATTATCTTTTATTTCAGCGTCGAACCTGGATTGTTACACTAATTAGCTAATGTATTTTGCCTAATTACACTTATACTTAAGAGAAATAAAAAGTGTTACTGTTGAAGAAGTCCAAGGAAATAACATTTCCAAATTACTCTGACTTAATTAATTAAAATTCAGTCTTGCACAGAAGTGCAAATTTAACTACATTCTCAGCCACTGAATAACTGTTAAGGTATTTAAGAAGACAGTATATATCTAATTGTGGAGGTGTGTTCTTGCGACTCGTTCGCTACACGATGTAGCCCACGATATAGCCTGCAAAAGTGAGGAGAGCTTGCAACTACGTCTCTGGAATTTGAACTGATCTGCATCGAAAAAGTCGATACGATATACTGATAGGCGGAGATGACTTTATTAATGACGTCATTACCCCTGTCACGTGTTTTTTCAATGTTTTTTTACTTTCGTACTCGTTTCCGTTTCACGCTGATTGGCAGAAATCTGACAGCTCAGTTGACGAGGTAGAATTCAATTTCAGAGACGTAGTTGCAAGCTCTCTTTCATTTTCCCGCCCCGCCGCCAGGGCGCCCCGGATAGATTCCTCACAAGCTATACACGATAAGGAACCAGGAATCTGATTTACATCTTGGTCTTTATTCTTCTTGGGCTTCTGCTAACAATGTTATAATACTCTTAATTTTGTTACTCTTCTTAATTTTATTTCCCTTACTCCTCTTCTCTAACTAACAAGTCAGATAGTAAAGGTTTTTATAACCAAAGCTGGACATGTTTGGGTTAGCTGACTGTGGGAATAACAACAAGGCAAACTCGGTGAGGGTAATGTTTTGGTATTGCAATTGCTGAATGAAATGGCTATCAGTTGGCTGCATGATCAGCAAGAAGGTATCAACCAACGAAAAACAAAAACGCTGCAGTTAATAAACCCAAACAGGAACTTAAAGGCGAACCAAGGTCATCTCTAACATCACAAACATGACCACCTATGAAAACTAACATCTGTACTGTCAATGGCAAGCAACGAAATTCGCAAGGTAAACTAAAACTCGATGAAAGTAGATCAAACTGAGATCAAAACAGGAAAATACATGCATATACCTATGAGGACAAAAATCAAGACTAACCTTAACCCATTTTATAATGAAACAAAAGAGAAACTTAAAAGATGTGACAAATGTTAAAAATAACTTTCCAAATACGTACTTTACAACATATAAATGCACGATAACGAGATTGAAACAAAAGACAACGGATTGAGAAACTTAGCAGATCGGATATAAATTACCCACTGAAGGCCATTTCATTTAGCAGTTGCAAAAATTCTATTTACAGTAAAGCTGTGACAGTTGCTTTCTTTATATTCCAGAAAACTGTTTATGAGGGGCAACCTTAAGTCATCAATAACAAAGTATTATGTTGCGAGACGCTTTGTTCGAACAATTTCTTACCCTAGATTAAGTTGTAGAATTTGTTTGTTTGTTTGTTTGTTTTTTTTTTTCATATCTAGAAGTTAACCATAATCATATAGGCGAATCCCTGCTTACATTTTTTGCCTCAAAGTAGCATAGGCTTATCATTATCTGATGAAGATAATAAAATGAAATGTCTGAATAATGAAAGCGCATAACAGTTTCAATTATCTCTGAAAATTTCAGCGATATCATAGTTAATTGAGTGGAATGGTTATGAAACCCGTCAGACTCCTTTGTTATATGTTTTTGTGGACCTGAAAGTGCACAACGTTCAAAGAATTCCTATCATTTTGATTGTATTGACCAATAAAAACGTTGCATTAATTTATTCCGTAACAATTTGCCAACAGAAAACAAAGGATTGTGCACTTTCAGGGTGCTTCCAACATAAACTGCAGCACTGTTGTTTTTATCATTGATGTTTGCCGCTTTTCATAACCAGTCTCCTCTAATAACTATGGCGATATATACCAAATAAATAGTTTCGAAGAAATTCTCTTTGAAAAACCCTCAAATTTACAAAAAATGCATAAGCTCATTAACGCCTATTTTGCCACTCAAGAATTTTCAGGTTTTAATTGCTGCTATTGTCTTTGTTTCTGATTACAAAGGTCTGAAACTTGTACAAACTGCATAAAAAAAAACCCAGCTCTTTTAATTTTTGAACTTAATTGGTATTACGCCTACATATTCTATGGGTACTGACTCGTCTGCTACTTGAGCAATAATGTTAACAATGACGTCACAATGAACTCGCGCTGATACCATCATATCTTGTCAAATATCTGTATTCTGTGGTTCCATGAATCACATACAACTACCCTTCCATCACTCAAATTTGCAGTAGAATTTGGAAACTTAAACTCTCCTCTCTCACTACCTTTGCTCCCAAACTTTGTAACAAAAGTTCCGTTCAGTTCAAATACTTGAACTCTGTTGCTACATCCATCACAGATCATTAACAATCCTTCTTTGTCCACTGAAAAGTGACGAGGGTCGCAGAACTCTCCGTCCCCCTTTCCCTGTTTTCCATATTTAGAAATACAATTTCCTTCAAGATCAAACATTTTAAAGGAATGATCACTCCAGTCTGAGACTATAAAAAATTGACCGTGTTGAATACAGTGAAAAGGAGTGACCAAACTACCTGCTCCGCCAAATTTACGCAAAAAATTCCCGTTGGGAGAAAATATCTTGATGAATTTGTTGCCGCTGTCGGAAACAATCAATTCACCGTTGCCGTTTATTGATAAACCGTTAGGGTGTTCAAGTTGGTGATCAAGACTTCCTTGTTCACCAAACTTCCTTAAAAAGTTACCATTCCGATCAAAAACTTGCACCCTGTGATTAAAACTGTCCACTACTAAAATATTGTTATTTTGATCAAAAGCGATCCCTGATGGGTTTTTAAACATACCATTACTCTTTCCCCGTCTACCAAACGATTTCAAGTAGGTACCCTCACTACTGAATATTGTAATTCTGTGGTTGCCACACTCACTTACAGCAATTTCATCATGATTATTCACTGCCACCCCCCAAGGGAAGTGAAGCATTCCAACAGACTTACCTTTTTGTCCAAAGGACAACAAAGGCCTGAAAGTGCGATTCAGTTTTGCTAAAACGGTTTTTACATCACCTATCCCCTCGCTGTTCAACACGCTTATCAAGTTTTCATTTTTGCTGAAACTTAATAAAGGAACAAATTCAGCGTCACTGTTTGCATGGGTGTTGTCCTCCTTAAGAATTGTATGAAATGTTTCATTAAATCCTAGGATTTCGGTACTCAAGTTTTGTTTCATTAAAAATTCAGTTTGTTCAATTGCTGAATCCAATTTCTTCACTCGATTTTCAACTTCGTCTTTTTTCTTTGTGAGAGGTTCCAGTGATATTTTCGCTTGGCTTCGGACTGCGTTCAATATATCCTGTTTCCTCGCTTCGATGGTTGCGATAATTTGGTCCACTTTCGTCTGTACTTGGCCTTTCACGTCAGCTACTTTCATTTGAATTTCGGTGCTCTTCAGGTCAAATTTTTCTGCCTTCCTGCGGCCATCCTGTGCTGTTTCTTTTAAAGATTTAACCACAGAGTTTATCTTTGTCTTACAGGCATTTTTCGCTTCTTGCAAAAGCATCTTGCTGTGGTTGTCATGAAGTGTTACAACACAAGTGTTGCAAATAGCGACTTCACAGTCCTTGCAAAAGAATTTCGATTCCTCCTTTTCATGGTATTCCTCCTGGCAAAATGTTGGCCGCCTTAACAAGTCTTCGATGTCTTGATCTTGAAAATCGTTTAACGCCAGTGTTCTGTGTTCTTTATTAGCTCGGATAATGTTATGTCCTATAATGCATTCTTCGCACCAGAAAGAATAACACTGAAAGCAATATGAGGTCTTGTCGCTCCGGTTTTCGCAGTTTTCGCATTTTACTTTCACCTCAGGGGTTTTGGTTTTGCACTCTTTGATTGCCAAGATATTCAGCAAACTGTTTATTCGAAGATTGTTAGGAAGTTCGCTGGGACTTCCACTTCCAGGAATCTTAAGCCGTTTGTTGCATTGTGGACATGTTAAAAAACGGCCGTTAAATTCACTTTTTCTAACAAGCCCATTCAAGCAGTGAAGACAAAAACTGTGCAAGCAAGGCAACTGCTTTGGATCAGTAAAAGTCAACCTGCACACAGAACAGCAAACTTCATCATGAAGTTTGCTTTTCGACTTCATCTCTATATCCATGACAAAAATATGCAACCAACGGTCAAAGTAGACTTGTTGACTTTGAAAACTAAAAGAACAATGGAGTCTTGATTTGAGACTTAATTGAATTCTTCCAACCCAATCTTTGTTTTTTTCAGTATAAATTCCAAAGTATACTATACGCTTCACCGGTTACTCCGCCTTGGGTGTATATTTTATATTCAACTGTCAATCACAGTCTGATTTCTTTTATCGTTCAATAAGTTTATGTAATTCGACAAGGCTTTATGTCTCGTCATTCTCTTGACAGCATTTTGTAAAAAACAAGCAACTTTTAAAAAGCGAAATCACTCCAAAAACTTCCAAAGCTAAGGTTAATATCCTAGCCTTAGCCTGTAACAGGCTCCAAGATGATCACAAGCAGGGATCGTGAAAAATGGCGCGAAAGTTGGAGAGAGATCAAGCGCGTCTTAGTTTCTCCTTTTTTTTCTTGAATGTTGCGGACATATGTAACGTTACAGTGTGACATCATGTCAAGCCGGGAACGTGAGACGCTTCGTAAATGATATGATTTTCTGGCTCCTTTCCTGTTGCTCAATGTAGTTTTACTCTAGCCTGCGAGCAAGCTCTCCTATTTGGGCGAGTGAAACGAGTCTCGCGAGAACGCGCGAGCGAGCGGCGAAGCCACGAGCGGCGTTCTCGTGAGTCTTGCTCGCAGGCTAGTTTTACTCTGGTCTACTCTATGGATTGAAAAATAAATCGATCTGAACCTAAAAATCCTTTGACTCTCGAGGTTTATAAAACCAACTACTGAAGTGCACAAGAACAGTATATATTGATTATCATCCCTGTGACGTCTTACAGTCTCTAATCTCTAAATTCATTGTGGACAGTCAATAATAAGGTTGGAAATTTCCTCAAAGACCCATCTGAAGATGTTACGCTGTCAGACATCGAGGAGGCAGCGCCGGAGAAATCGATAATTAACCTTTTTACTGACAATGAGAGTGAAATTGTTGTTTTAGCATTTACAAGAAAATTTCAATTAATAATAAAAATTATACTTTGTTTCATCCTCACCTCTTGTCATGTTTTTGTTGTAATGACAATGGTGAAAATGTAATAAGCGCCCACCTCAAATAAGCGCCCGTGGGCTTCTCAAAAAGCCCAAGTCGGGAACGAGGTTAACTGAGGAATCGCCTTCCTCCGGTGGTAGTCAACATTAACATAGCAGCACCGATATGTGGAGATACGTTTGCTCATTTTCATCCTCACATTTCACTACTCACATCAAACAAGGGGACCCATTCGTCAAGTTCAATATTTGTGAGTCAGAATAATAGAATTACCCTTTCTCAACACTCTTTTTCATTGGCTGAAATCAGGTTTTCTTAAGTGTAATGTGTGCAGGAAACAACACACACCGATCAACACAAGCACAAGGGCCGTAGAAAGAAAAAAAAACTGAGGTAATATCTGTGGCTGAATTCCCCGCCTACTTTCTTAAGGGTCTTTATGATTACTTTGTTACTACACTACACTGGGATCAAACCTTGGGAAAAAAAATGACTGGGGTAAGTGCCTCGGTTTGCCTCATACTGGCTGCGGCCCTGAGAAAAATGTCGCAAGACTACTTTTCCATCGTGTAAATTGTGCGGTGTCGAGAGAGACTAATGGGACGGAGGGGGAATCTTAGGACGTTAGCCGGGATATCTGCGAATTTCACTAAAGATATTTTTAGAGGTTGTAGTTAAACGGAAAATTCCAGAGACGTCTGTACAATTTAATCGATTGTTTTGTGCGACTGCCTCATGCAAATCAAGCAATGAAGTATATTGTTATGGCAGCTATTAAATTCTCTGTTGAAAACAGTGAATAAAAATTTGCGGACCCCTCCCGAAACAAACCTTCGATTAATTTCAAGCGTTTTATTGTTGGTTTGAGTCATATGACGTCACTAAAATTCAAACTACAAAACTATCGATCCTACTGAGATTTAACTTTCATGGTGTATTAGAGCAGCTGAAAACTAATTTTCAAACAAATTTTCGCTTCAAAAGGGTTCTTCGTTTTGCCATAAAGTACGCTTGAATTTCTAAGCTTTTGCCTGACGCAGCATACTCACGACGGCCGAAAGAGCTGTCATTTAGATTAAAATGTGGCTTTTTTCGAAGAATTTTGCTATCTAATCAGTTCAAGTGTTAGAAAAAGTATTACTTTAATGTTTATGAGTTCCTCTAGGAGTAAATTCACGCTTTTGTAGCAAGGCTCGGTAACAGATGTTTCTTTTGGTTTCCGTCCGCCATGTTGGAGCTCTTCCGGATGAGCTCCAGCATGGCGTCTCCATACAACGCTCTATAAATTTGGGTAAAACATTTCCTCGGATATCTCTCGAATACGAATTATTCTTTCGACCCAAATGTTGGGGAGGGTCTTTGTATATTTACCTCCTTTCATTTCCCAGATTCTGGAATTTATCTGTCGAATGGTTTTTGATTTTTATTTTGATCTATTTTGGATGGCGTGAGTCTGAAAACCAGCAGTTGGTTTAAAAATAACTTTGGTGAAATTCACATATTCCAAGGGCTAGACTGGGCGTTTCCCTCTCTGTTCCATTAATATTCTCTCTTGATCGCGTCTAATCCTTTTGACCTCAACTTACAACTGTCACACATCTCAATCACCCTTCGACACATTTTGATGTCCACCTAACTGGCCTTTTGCTACTGCATGCCCTCGCCCTGTCTCCTGCTCCGAAACAGTTTGCCCGTACGGCAACACCTCCGGTATGAGGAAAACTTCGCACTACGATGGGGTCATGATCACCATTATTCTTCAAGGAATCTTCAAAAAGCGTGGTTTGCCACTTGTAAGGGAATTCGATTCCGGAACCGGGAAATTTTTGCTTGTGGAATCCGAATTACGTGAAACGTTTGCTTATGGAATCTGCAATCCTGGGTCTTATTTCGGAATACAGCTCAAGGAATCCAGAATCCCTCGAACGATAGGAATCCATAATCCGAGTTCCACTGTCAAAGACTAGTATCCAGTACCAGGAATCCGGAATCCACGGCTTGGAATCCAGAATCCAAGATTCCATTACATGGGGCGACGGGGTGCTCACGTTTTAGCTGATCTTGCATTTGCAAATGGTACTGGCAAAAGTTGCAAGACACTTAGGGCCTGTTTACATCGAGGTGGGGGACCCCAGGTACTGAGGTAACCCGCTTAGGTGGGGTAACCCGACTGTCCATACAATCTCTCATTTCAATTTGATCACGTTCACATGATAGGTGGGGTGACCCGCCAAATGTTACCTCACCTACCTGGGGTCCCCCACCTCCATGTAAAAAGGCCCTTATTTGAAGGCGCAAGTGCCATTAAACCCCCCGGGCCTAATTTTAATCAATTTAACCCTCCACAAATTGATATCTTCAGAAGACAAAATGTTGGGGCACTTTTAACCATTCTTTGCTGTATTACTATACAGCAAACATACATTTCAGACTGTTGAGCTACATTATTTAGTAATCGCCAGATCACCGACAAATACACCTTTGTTTACAAAGACAAAAAAATTAAACGACTTTGATTATGTAATTATAGCCTGGAGAAAACAATTTCACTGTTGTTTGATGTGCACGAACCACTCATAAAAAAAATAAATGTGAAGTCTGGAATCATACAAAATAACATTATATTCAATTCAAAACATTAAAAATCTATGTAGAAATTAAAAGATATTATTGAGATAATTATATTTGCAACTTATTACAGTTATAAGGTCAGCTAACGGAAAACAAAGACTACAATCAATGGAACCTACTATTCATGCAGCGTTAATAAACAACGTTTGTTTGTTTTGCCACAAATGCGAATTGTAGATCAACACAGTAAGTAGTTCACACTTTTGCATATGAAGGTAAGAGTCTAAGAGCGAGTCATATCACATTTGGTCAAATATCTGAATTCGATCGTTCAGCTGGTCACACAAAACTATCCTCCCATCACTAAGATTGGCGGTAGCATTTGGATTACGAAACTCTCCTCTCTCGCTACCTTTACATCCAAACTTTGTAACAAACTTTCCACTCGGCAGTTCAAACACCTGCACTCTGTGATTGTATGAATCGCAGACCATTAGCAATCCGTCTTTGCTAACTGACAGGTACCGGGGGTTATTCAATTCTCCATCATTTACCCCCTTCTTTCCAAATGTATAAATAAATTTTCCATCAAGATTAAACATTTTAATAGAACAAGTGTCTGAGACTATAAAATATTGACCGTTTTGGATACAATGATAGGGCTGTGTCAAAGAACCTGCTTCTCCAAATTTACGTAAATATTTTCCATTAGAAGAAAATATTTTGATTGCACTTTTCAAGTAGCCTTGGTCAGTAACAATAATATCATCGTTGTCGTCTATTGATAAGCCTACTGGTTTGTTAAGCTGGTGATCAAGACAACCTTGTTCACCAAACTTTCGTAAAAAGTTACCATTCCGATCAAAGACTTGTACCCTTGGGTTATGGCAGTCTGCCACTAAAATGTTGTGATTTTTGTCAAATATTATTCCGCAAGGGAAACTAAACTCACCATTATTCTGACCCGGTTTACCAAAAGATCTTAAGTAAGTACCATCACTGCTAAATAATGAGATCCTGCAGTTCCCGTACTCACTCACAGCAATTTCATCGCGACTATTCACTGCCACTCCCCAAGGCCTGTCAAGTATCTCAACAGACGGTTGTCCAAATGAAAGCACGGATTTGAAACGCCTGGTTCGTTTCTGAACCGGCTCAAAAGGACTTCCACGAACATTTGCTCTTTCCATCCCACCACTTGCTTTACTGCTTTCGTTACAATTAGTTTCTAATTGTTGATCTTTATAAACTTCGAACAAAACAGTTTTTACACTACCTATCCCCTCACTGTTCAATAAGCTTATCAATTTTTTACTTTCAGTGAATTTAAACCGAGAAATGCATTCCGAGTCAACACTTCCTTCGGTGCTCTGTCTCTGAAGGATTGTATCAAATGTCTCATTGAATCCCAGGATTTCTGCACTCGAGCCTCTTTTCATTAGTGATTCAGTTTGATCAGTTGCTAATTCAACTAATGTCACTTTATTTTGAACTTTTTCTTTCTTCAATGTGAGAAACTCCAGCGATTTTCGCGCTTGACTATCGACAGCATCCAAAATTTTCTGTTTCTTAGCGTTAACGATTCCGATTATTTGGTCTACATTCTTCTCCACTTGGCTTTCCACGTCGGCCACTTGCATTTGAATTTCGATGATCTTCTGGTTGTATTTTTCTACTTCCTTTCGTTCTTCCAGTACCTTTTGCTTTAAGGATGCAATTGTGGAGTTGATCTGCGACCTGCGGGCATCTGTAGCTTCTTGTAAAAGCATTTTGTTGTGACCATCATGAAGTGTTACAACACAAGTGTTGCAAACAGCGACTTTACAGTCTTTGCAATAGAACCTCAATAATTCCTTTTCATGGTGTCTCTTCTGGCAAAATGCCGGTCGCCTTAACAAGTCCTCGATGTCTTGATCTTGAAAATCGTTTATCGCTAGTGTTCTGTGTTCTTTATTGGCTCGGATAATGTTATGTGCTGAAATGCATTCATCGCACCAGAAAGAACCGCATTGGAAGCAATATGATGTCTGGGCACTTAGTTTGTCGCAGTTTCCGCATTTCACTCTAGCGGTACTGTACTCTTTGATTGCCAAGACATCTAGCAAACTGTTAATGCGAAAATTGCTGGGAAATTCGCTGGGATTTCCACTTCCAGGGATCCTAAAACGTTTGCGGCACTCTGGACATGTTAAAAAAGGGCCGTTGAAGTCACTTATACTTGCAAGTTCATTCAGGCAGTGAAGACAGAAACTGTGCAAGCAAGGCAACTGCCTTGGATCGGTCAAAGTGCTCAAGCACGCAGAACAGCTTACTTGATCATGAAGATTATCCAGCAAGTTTTTTATATCCATGGAAAGCTGACGATTTGAAAGCTACAAACTGAAGTGTCGGAATACTTTGGATAAGGAGCCGTTGGCTTTGTTGGCAAAGAACCATGAAGTTTTGTCCTGTGACCAAATCTAAAGTTTATATTCACTAGCCAATCAAAGAGTTTTCCCTGACATGTTTTGACGGATTTCTGAAGTATGTAAAATATGCTGCTCATGAAAGCATGACCTGTCATATTTTATTTAACATTCATTGAGCACATCACGGAGATTATAGATACTCTACATATCTACATGTGACACTCAGCTTTTCAAGTGCAATTTTTGCGAAGTTGACATTAAACATGAAAAAGATTGCATAAGAGCAGACGTTCGACGTTTGAAAGTTAACAATGGCGCATCGGACTGCAGCTGACTGCAACGGATCAGATCTACAAAAGAACAATACATTCCCCTCCGGCGATTTTACTAAAAATAAAATGCCTAGCTAGTTATTAACAAATCAGGGAGAGTCTAATGAATTTTAAGTTTCAACGACTTTGCCGCTTTCTTTGTGCTCAACACTCCATAGAGATCTTATGATTTGTTTTATGCCTCACCAAGGTTGTAATCAAATTGAAATAACGTTTAAGCCTGGTTTTCTCTAGCGCATAAGCATAAGCACAAGCACATGAGTAAAGCAAATGAAAACTGGGTCGACATAAGCATAAGTACAAGAAGAAGAAAAAACGGGCAAGTTCGTGTTCTTCTTGCACTTATGTTTATGTCGTAGCTTTGACTAGTGAAAACTCGGTTGACATAAGCACAAGCATAAGAAAAAGCCGTGGACCAATCATAAGTCACTTTGACCCAGACCTCATGCAAACATATGAAAAGCAGTATGGCGGACACTTCGTGTGCCATCTTGTTTATCATTGGGTTGAGGAGAGCTGGTATCGAGTATTGAGTCAAATTTGCCTTTCTGCGCGTGCGTATGTCCTTATGCTTATGTTTCCCAGCAACGATCCCAGGACGCATTTCGGCTTGCCTCATGCATATTCTCTTACGCGCATAGTTCATCGAAGGCTAGCACAAATTCTGTTTATTCTCATTGGCTATTTACATGCAATAGCAGTGGTACCATGGAAACTACAACGTCTACTCCTTTCCTTTCATAAAATCCCTCTCCCTCTCATTGCCCGCCCCATTAAAACTTTCGGGGGTGGGGGAGGGGGGAGCCAATGGGTGAAGGGTGTTCATAAGACCATATTTTCCTATTCCCACTCGGATATTTTCGTCATTCTATGGGCAACTGTCGTAAAGTTAGCTTAATTGGACAAGCGCGAGTCTGCCGAACGGAAGGCTTCAATAATCAGGGTCTTCTATTAACTGAGGAGGATGTACTGTCTTTGTTCCGACAGCTACAAATGAATAGACGATGTAGTCTTCTTGGAAGAAAAAACCGTTGGCCATATCTCCCAGCCATTTCACTCACTGTTCCGAGTCTTGCGAAAGTCAAAAGAACCCTCAATGCTGTTAGGGCGTATACCCCTGTAGATGATATCGCGGGAAGACAAGCGAATAGCAAGCGAAATGAGACGCAATACTCGTGGCTTTGTCGTTCCTCACGTGTTCTTTCGCGGCTCGCTTTGCTGCCACTCGAAATGGAAAGCTTCCTGGTTGTAAGCCACCTTACAAGCCACGTAGACAAACTCATCAATAATATCCAAAACAGATGGAGTTTTTTATTGTCAGCATTTAGCATAGCCTCCCACGCAGGCGTTTTTAGGGGAGCTCGAAAAACGAGTTCCCCTAAAAACGCCTGCGTGGGAGGCTACATTTAGCATTGAATGAAAAACACTCTTAACAGACATTTGCCGACACTTCTATTTTATAGTTTTAATCACAAAGGAAACATTCGGTTAAAATATAAACATTCATCCGTTGTAACGTTCGGAACTACTGTTTGGTGCCTGGGCTTACTAAATGAAAATGTTCAGTCTCATCATCACTGGCTTAAAACACATCACTGGTTTTGAGGTTGACTCCCACAAGAAGTCAGGTAGCTTAGTGGACCTTAAATCCTTGACAAGCATACAAGACACAGCTAACACAAAAAAGGCTCTCATATCATAGCGTAAAAGCGTAGGCGACAATGCCGAAATATGAATGGGCATAATTTTTTACAGTCCTCCACCTTCGTCCATGGTCTTTTATCCCAATACTCACAACTACTGTTCGGCAATGCCAAGTTACGCCTTGTAATGACAATCTTTCACGGACCAGCTATATTTAGGACACCGTCCTCTTTCACAATGACAGTGTTGATGTTTCAGACGGGGCTATGTTTGTACTATTCAACTAGGTAACATAAGCATAACCTAACAAACCCACAGGCACCAACTCGAGGCTTGAGTTGACCACATACACTGTTTTGTTTACGCCACTTCCACATTTCCCATAATGCACCTTATTTGTCCCCCCAAATTTTGCATAACCTTTGTTTTTCGTTTCTCCAGGGTATTACAGCCGTTCTAAGAGAAATTGAAAACATATGCTTATTCAAAATTTTTGGGGGCAAATAAGGTGCATTATGGGAAATGTGGAAGTGGTGAATGCAATTGTTCACTTAAGCCTCGATCTCGTTTCATTGAGTTGAGTGGAATGCGGGATTAGTCGGTTGGATCGAATAAGAGGTTTTGTTTAAAAACAACTCAAGGAACACTTCCTTTGACTTCCTTCAGCAAAAACATCTACGGTCGCTTGGTTAGCATATCTCAAGACACAACTTGCAACTTGGAGAGTAAGCACTGAGCGGCCAATCTAGCATCTTCAACCTCCTGGCTGTAAAGGGAAAAGTAATACTACATGTAAATCATTTAATATTAAAGACGAAGAAATGCAACAAAATCAGATTCGCGCGACGGAGTAGCCTTAACTTTAAGTGGCCTTAAGAGTAAAGATCGATCCTGAAAAATCAATTCATTTATCCTCCTTTGAATTTGCCAAAGGCGAACATATCATATATTTAAAACCTCAGCAGGATTAGCTTAGGGCGTGTTTACACTGAGGTGGGGGACCCCAGATGGGTGAGGTAACATGTGGCGGGTCACCCCACCTATCATGTAAACGTGATCAAATTGAAATGAGTGATTATATGGATAGGCGGGTTACCTCACCTACCTGGGGTCCCCCACCCTGCCCTTAGTGGAGCGTTCGACTGTAGAGCGCGATGTTGCGGGATCGATTTCTGCGGCTGCACCAATACTCAGGACGGTCTTAAAGTATCTGAGAAATGAAGGTACTCCTTTTGCACTGCAAGCGGTTAGACCTTCGCGTCGTTCGGATGACCACGTAAAATGGGGGTCCTGTGTCCAGTTGGAGACGTAAAAATAGTGTCCTCAATTAGTACTTTCGTGCTAAATACACTGACACACAAAGTATTATTATTTTTTTTATTGCCGGACGCAATTTCAAAGCAACGAGTTTCACAATGCCGAGACTGCCGATTCAACAATCTATGAAGCTACAATGCTTATACAAACCTAAAATCAGAGCTGTTTTTCTCTTTTAATGCCTTCAAATTCTCATTGATGTGAACAGCGCATGCCTTTATTGTACTTGTATCAACAGTTCCTATGAAACAGGAAAGAATGTAACCAAGATACAGAAATGTTAACAAGACACTTTTAAAGTGTTAACTCGAGGTTGCTTAGAGATTAGATAAGAAACGAGGAGAAAAATTCTTAAGGAGCCTGTGTGCGGTAACTATTGATTGCCTTAAAGTACATAGAATAGTCATACTAAACTTAAACTGGAAAAAGATAATTAAGTTAGAGTTTATAAATCGCCCCATGTAAGGGAATCCAAGACAGTCCTGGATTCTGGATTCCACGCCATGGATTCCGGATTCTAGGTACTGGATTCCAGTATTTGTCAGTGGCACTTGGATTCTGGATACCAATCGTTAGTGGGATTCCGGATTCCTTGAGCTGTATTCCAGATTCCAAAACCCAGGATTCTGGATTCCATAAGCCCAATCCGTGACACATATGTAACGTCAGACGAGTGGTTGAAGTTGCTTCTAGTAGTTTCCTTATGTTCAGGTTTGATGATCAAGGTTAATCCATATAATCCATTTTGAGTGTTATTATCTTTCTTATGGGTTGTCGACAAAAGTGTCATTTATCTTGAGGTTTAATTAAATTTGATTGTCAGTCTTTGAGTGGTTTCGTTTTGGGACGATAGCTGACCCTGATTGTCACCTACATTGGAGTTCCTGTTTGGGTCTAAGGTAGAGCCCCGTTGGTTTAGCTGTCAAGTTTTTTTGGTTTCCTAGTTCTTGAATTGTTTAGTCTTATAAGTTTGTTTTGACCCACTTTTGTGATCAACAGGAAGTTCGCATAAGTCACTAAGAAGAGCGTTTGTAACTCTCATGGTTAGCAAGCCTGAACGAACCTACGTTTTACTCAAATAAGTTGCCAGTATTTGACACAGATTACTGTTAGTTGTGAGCTGTAGTAGCTGGTGTAGCTGACGGACATTAAAAGAAGAAAAAGATCCAAGCTTTGTTAAGAGTCCTGGGGTGCTTCTTACTTACACAAACCACCCGGGTCGAAATCTTGTGCATGAACACAAAACATTTTAAATTTGACTTAGTGGGAGAATGAACCGTTACGAGGAAGAACCAAATCAGTTGAACAGACTAAAACGGGTAGAAAGGAATTGCATAGCCTCAAATCACAGCCCATATTTTCAGAAACTCCCCAGACGGAGTGGCGAGAACCATTTACCGTCGGTTGCATCTAAGTGTGGACACGAGACAAAAAAATGTTGTAATAGGGTGCCAGACATGACGTGTTTTGTCGCACACATTTGAACTTTGACAGCCGTTAAAGCAAACTGTCACGCCAAAGGTAAGTTGCTTATTTGTTTTTGATCAGCGCGTTCCGCTTAAATTTCATTTTTCACAACTTTCAGTCACATTTTTCGCTCAGAAACAGTACACTTGCCTCCAAAAACTATTCTTAACGTCTAAAAATCTTGCAAGGACTGATTTTGTTGAGCAAAAACAAATCAAGTCGACAACAGCCGCCTACTCCAAGCTTCGAACGTTTGGCGCCAAAACATGTCACTTTTGCACCCAATTAGAACATGTTTTTTCCTCACGGTTACACGCTTTGATGCAACCGACAGTAATTTTCCAACCGGAATTTCCGGTTTTCCCAGGTAAATGGTAAGTACCCCTGGTATCCTGTTGCTAGCGAGCTAACCCTGTCACAGAACTCCCTTACATTTTTTGTTATTGATTAATAACCGCGAAGAAAAGTTTCAACTCTACGATAATCCGCTTAGCGCCGCAAGGCAAAAGGCAGATAGTCTCACTGATCAGATTGAGGAAACGTTTCACTCTTCGTACGTTAAGTATACTGCTTTCACCGCCCTTGGCATTTCTCTTACATATTTCATCGTGTTCTGTATTCTTTGTCGCTGTGTATTCAGATATTCTGTCCGCCGGTCCTTCAACAGCCCTCAAGAGCCACTACCAGAACCCGTATCCCTTCAAACCGTCACCATAGAGCCTGGGATCATTGTGCGAAGCCAGAAAGAAAAGATCACCGTCTGAAGTCAGCAAAAAGTGCGCCACCAGAATAGAAGGTTGCAACAACAGAACACTGAGAACTCTTTTGGAACTCTGTCTTCATCAATGAACTGAACTTTGCTAAATATTGGCGCAGTTTAATGATGCATTACATAATCCTATTACCTCTAATTAATTTTTCAAGATTCTTAGACGAGGTTGATTCTATCCAGTTAGCTGCAGTTAGCGGGCTTTTTGTATCGTTAAAGCATCAAAATGATAGTGCTGTTTCCCAAGGCAAATACCCCCTGTCTCGTGGCAGTCAATTGACCTGTTCATAGGTTTGTTTTCTGGAGTTGGTCGTAGTTTGATTTGGGGGGTCGACAACGTCGTTGACTTTATTCAGATTTGATGTTATTTCACGGTGAACGAGCGTGTTCTATCCGAAATATTTCATTGTACTTGTCCGCTAAATTATTGTCTTTCGTTTCGGGAAAACCAGTTCTTGGAGGTGTTGTTTTCCTTAAAGTTGTCAGGCTATCATTAACCCTTTAAACCCTAATATCAAAATTCAAATTCTCATTTTTGTCCCTATTTGTTTTCAATAGAAGTAGTGGGGAGAATTTGTTGAAGTATAAATTAGATTCATCTTGTGTGATCAGGTCCTCAATTCTGATGACCACTGTGTTTTATAAAGAACTGATACTACAAGGAGAAATTTGACGCTGATCACTCTTAGGGCTTAAAGGGTTAAGTGCTACAAAATGAAGGCATGGGTGATATTTGATTGGGCTGTGCTTCCTTAAGACCATTTAGTTTGTATAGATTGCTTTACAGCCCACGCTGAGGAACTTAAAACAATGTATAAAGGCGGTTGTGGCGCGAGGTTCAGTTATTAATCAAGATGCGGTTAATTTCAACAGGA